ATCTTTCTTCTATCATTGACAGTCCCTCTAGGTTGTGGGCTGCTTGCCTGTGTTCCTGAGAAGCATCTACGGTACCAGTCTATAGAGTGTGTTTTCTTTAGTGAATTACCGGTATGTTTACCGGTAATAAACTTGCACTGTTTTATGTATATGTTTGATTACATACAGCCTTGTGACAGTTTTCCTGCATGTCATAAGCATTTGAATATAAATTAAAATGTTAAAATCAAATCTGATATTGTTTTACCTTTTATTTGGTGTGTGGAAGGTGTGCGGAAGAGGGGGTAGTCTTATACGGCGAGTATATAACAAACTCTGTATTTTGAGTGGAAATGTTAGGAGGTCGTCTTATACGCCCAGTCGTCTTATACGCCGGCAAATACGGTAATTCCTTTCACCCTTTTCACCCATTCCTCTATTATCCATTCCATCAGGCCACCATCAGTTTGTTCTCTGTATCTATGAGTTTGTTTCTGTTAGTGGGATTGCAAATTGGTGCAGCTACAATGGAAAACAGTGCGGAGGTTCCTTAAAAAATTCGGAATAGAAATGCCTTATGACCCAGCAATTCCACTTCTGAATATCTGAAAAAATCCAAAACAGTAATTCAAAAAGATATATCCATCCCTATATTCATTACAGCATTATTTCCATAGCCAAGATATAGAAACAACCTAAGTGCCCATCAATAGATGACTAGACAAAGACAGTGTGGTACACACACACACAGGAATCTTACTCAGCTGTAAAAAAGAATGAAATCTTGCTATTTGTGACAACATAGATGAACCTAGAGGGTATTATACTAAGTGAAATAAGTCAGACAGAAGAAGACAAATGATTTCACTTATATGTGAAATTTAACAAATGAACAAACAAAACAGAAACAAACTCATAGTTCTTGCTTTTCAGTGTCTCAGGAGAGATTGGAGCTGCCTATCAGCTGTAAAAAAGAATGAAATTTTGCTATTTGTGACAACATAGATGAACCTAGAGGGGATTATACTAAGTGAAATAAGTCAGACAGAAGAAGACAAATGATTTCACTTATATGTGAAATCTAACAAATGAACAAACAAAACAGAAACAAACTCATAGTTCTTGCTTTTCAGTGTCTCAGGAGAGATTGGAGCTGCCTACTCCACAATTTTGCTGATGCCACTTCTCTTTTTTGGTTTAAGAATTTGGATATGAAAGTGACTTTTACGTTAAGCCATAACATAATTTGAACTGCTGACTAAAAATGATGATAGAATAAGTTTATATCAAACTAGTTGCCTAGAACTTAACTGTTTTCCCTCCCCATAACAGGCCTTCTCGTTTTATGGATGTGTCATTGCGTAGCTTCTCCCTTTGTTGTGATCTGTTAAGCCACATTTGCCGCACCGCAGTGACTTGCTGTAAGGATGCTTTAGAAAATCATCTTCATGTTATTGTTGGTACACTGATACCCCTTGTGGATAGTCACATGGAAATTCAGGAGCAGGTAATTTCATAAACCATTTTCAAAATGATATTTGAATTACACGTATAAATTATTCTTGAAAGGAGCCAAATATTTCATGTTTACTTGGTATAATTCTTAATTTTAATGAAAATCCTATATAATAAAAGGCTAATATGCAAATCAACTGAATGATGGAATGACTGGTCGCTATGACGTTCACTGACCATCAGCGGGCAGACGCTCAACACAGGAGTTGTCCCTTGGTGGTCAGTGCGCTCCCACAGAGGGAGCACCGCTCAGCCAGAAGCCGGGGTCACAGCAGTGGGACACCCCCCAAGGGCTCCCAGACTGCAAGAGGGTGCAGGCCGAGAGGGTGCAGGCCGGGCAGAGGGACCCCCCCCCCAAGTGCATGAATTTTGTGCACTAGGCCTCTCGTTACTTATATAAAATGTTTCTGTAATATTGGCATTTTTATACTTCAGGGCCCATCCTTTAGAAGTACTTCAATGGTTTGTTGAATTATTTGAAAGCACTTTAACGGTTTGTTGAATTACTTTAAAGCATGGACATAGCTGGGTTCCTTAGAAGTAATTAGGATAGTTTCTCTGAATTAGGTTAGCAAAGTTGTTATTTATTACAATGGGTTTGGTTATTTTACTTTAAAATATAATGAAGTCATTTGTCCCCTTTCATTTTTTTAAAAAATTATGTTTAGGTATTGGACTTGTTGAAATACTTAGTGATCGATAACAAGGACAATGAAAACCTCTATATGATGATTAAACTTTTAGATCCTTTTCCCGACCACGTTGTCTTTAAGGATTTGCGTATTACTCAACAGAAAATCAAGTACAGTAGAGGACCCTTCTCACTCTTGGAGGTAATAATTATTCCATCATCTATTTTATATTAGAAAGGATAGACAATAGTACCTTTTGAAAACCTATAATGCTTTAAATGTGAAAAACTGAATGTTTTTTAAAAATTATGATAAAAATATAGCATGAGAACAAACCTCTAAAATAAAAACTGAATCTTAATATATCCTCTTGCATTGCAATGAAAGTATAAATATCAAAGTTTTTTGTAAACATTTAATTTAAATATTGATGAGATATGATATAACATGCTTGATTTTCATATGCATAAACTCTATTTTTTTTAAATTTTGTTTTATTGCTTAAAATATTACAAAGAGTAGTACATATGTCTCTTTTTTTTCCCCCTTGACCTTCCCCCGGCCTCCCCTATCCCCCAGTGTCTTGTGTCCATGTTATGCTCATATGCACGCATACAAGTCCTTCGGTTGATCTCTTGCTTATTTCACTTAGCATAATGCTCTCCAGTTCCATTCATGCTGTTGCAAATGATAAGAATTCCTTCTTTTTTACAGCAGCATAGTATTCCATGTGCATAAACTCTATTAATATCTCAAAATTACTGCCTGATTCTTTGAGGGACAATTTAATGTTTGAATTAAAGAGTTTTCCAAATTTTAGTTCTGTCTTAATCTTTATAAACTTCAAAAGTATGTCCAGATACATTTTTCTTTATAAATCTTATTATAATTTAAAATGATGCTTTGTATTTTGCTATATATCAATATGAAAGTATAGGTAAATATATTAAGGTCTAAAACTAGTTACAGTACTAAGTGAATGGGAATTTAAGCTTTCTTTTCCAATTGAGTATGCTATAATCTTGCAATCTAACTATTATATTGTAAGGGAATCTATTAGAATTTAAATGAAAACATAGGGTTTGAAATAGAGGAAATAATTTACTTCTAACTTGTTTGGTAGTAATAGTGAGATGAGTCAGTGTCTATAAAAGGCACTTACTAATTTTTTTCCAAGCTTTATTTCACAGACTTAACCAATACATGTCAAAAGCAATTCCATTTTTAACAAATTTTCTCTTTTAGGAAATTAATCATTTTCTCTCAGTAAGTGTTTATGATGCACTTCCATTGACAAGGCTTGAAGGATTGAAGGATCTTCGAAGACAGCTAGAACAACATAAAGATCAGATGGTGGAGCTCATGAGAGCCTCTCAAGGTACTAATTTTAATGACATGGGTTATTTGTACCTATTCCTTTTGAAAGAATCTTTTATAAATTCTTTTTTTTAATTAAATCTTTATTGTTCAGATTATTACAATTGTTCCTCTTTTTCCCCCCCATAGCTCCCCTTCACCCTTTTCCAATCCCCATCTCTGCCTTTACCCCGCCACTGCCCTCATCCATAGGTGTACGATTTTTGTTCAGTCTCTTCCCGCACCCCTCACACCCCTTTCCCCCCCCCCCAATCGGTCCATTCCCTTTTTATGTCCTCCATTCTATTATAATCA